CACACACCCAGCATTTTGTCTTTTCATTGATATTGAGTAAATTTTATCATCTCGATGTCTATTTTCTTGATACACAACACGCATTTAACTGCTTCTTGTGTGCTAGGAGTTATTCCAAGTGCTTTATGGTTTTACTAACTCAGGACCGGATGCAGCAAGTAGTGTTTTTCAACTTCCTTAGACATGAAATGCCAGAGAAAGCAGGAAAGTTACGATAATGCAAACAGTGAAAAACAGGGCTGGGATTCAAGCCCAGCAGGCAATCTGGCTCCAGAATCTGTGCTCTTAATTACTGAGACATTCTCTAAGTCAATGAGGGGCATATACGTTCCATTATGTACATTGTCACTTGTCTTATCGATTTAGGGTGTCCTTTAATTGGTCTTTTCTCATGTGATTTTTAAATGTTTCCAGTATGTATTTTCTTAATGTTTCTTTGGCTTATAAACCATTTGAATTTCAATGTGGTCAAATTTTCACTCTTTATGATCACTAAGTTTACTATTTTAGATCTATCTGACTCTGAGATTATAGTGTCTTTTGATATCTGCCTAAGTACATTCTCACCCAATAAATGATAAAGTACTCAAAGAAATATATATATGCATATATATAATATCATGTCTCAGTATATCTTCTCATGGACAAACATATAAATACATATTTATTATATATGTGCCATATCTATACATGTATATATGCACATTTATATAAATAAATTCATACTTAGAGATAAAATATATGCAAGTATGATATAGAAATGGAACCATATGTCTCCTAAACACTTAAATACTTAGAGAAACTTAGTTCTTAATGTAAGGCCAGAGGCGGGTGAGAATTGATTTGGCTGAGGCTTGTTTGGGACAAGCCTGATGTTCTTCAGCATGACATTAGCAGCCTTCGTACGCATCAGCACTTATGTATCGGGCATCCCGCAGATATGGGTTCAACTCCAAGTTTACAATTCTTGTGTCCTGTAGCAAAGGAAGAAAGCAGGCTAACCGCAGCGATATGCAAGAAAGTGAAATTATGCTTGATGTGTTAATTATTAAAAGACCAGGATTTCAAGATGTGATCATTAATATTCTTTGTCTGGTACTCATAAAAAAAACTAGTAGAATCTTAGCTGGATATTTTTGAGTTCACCGCTATGTTGCCCTTTCATTTAGAGCTATAAAAGTTAACTACTGATTCAGATCTAAACAGTGTAAAGGGAAAGGAAAGAAGAATGTCTGGCTCCCAGCCAGCCACTTGCAGCTAGGCGCAGTCTCCTCCGCGGTCAGCTGGCAGTGTCTAGAGCTGGGTTTGGTAGTCACAGCTGGGGACGAGAGTGGTTGCCACCTCCGGCTGGCAGAACCAAGGGTGTGGCTTAGTGTCTGGTCATGGACAGGACACCCTCTTCCCTGGTCAACCAAGAGCCTTGGGTCCAAAATGTGAACTGTTCTGCTGCTCAGAAACCCTGGTCTGGGGAGAGACAAGAGAACCGACAATCTGGGTTGTGTCGATATTTAGGCTTGTGAGGCAGAGGTATCACGCAGTAAAACAAGAGGCTTTGCTGTCTTCTGCTGTGCTTATGGGACAAATATGTTTCAGGGGAGTTGTGACTATTTTTAGTGCTCTTCAGGGCTGCATATGTTATAGCCATTTATGTAGTCAGTGAGCAAACAGACAGCACAATACTCTTCCTTTTGACTATGCAGAAGTTGGTAACCGTTAATACGTAATGTAAGAAAGCTGGGAACGAATGGTCATTTTGAAACCCTTCCAGCAATTGACTTGTGACAACCTTCAAAATTACGTGTTGGTTCCCTGGCTTAGCTTTCTAGTGGCCTTTCCTTGCTCCTTCCTTAAAAAAAAAAAAGGTCTGTGGGCACTTCAGATCATCTAGTAAAATTATCACTGTTCTTTTAATAAGTAATACATTAATTGTGGTTCGCAGTGGTTTTGGAGTAAAGGAAGGTGCTTGTGAACCCCTGGATGTGGGGTGGGGGCGGGGTGGGATGAGCTGTCTTGCTGGGAGGCAGCAGGAAAGACGGGATCGAAGGCTCGCAGTTCTACATCAGTGCCGTTGGCCTCGGTTGTCCTCCTCTCTGCCTCAAACCTTGTTGGTTCCAACCAAATCTCTCTGTGGGCAGTTGTGATACTTTGCCTGAGGGTTCTTTTTACACAGAATGTGCCCAGCAGCGTGTCACCCAACAAATATACTGGGAAAATGCATTTAAACAGTGTTCACAAATGTAAGTAGAAAAAATCCATCTTTCATGGTAGCTGAGCTCTATTTAAAGCACCATTTTGGGGGAGTGGTGGTGCTGGCAGTGTCCTGGGGTTGCAGCTCAGGGCTACTTGAGCTACATCCTCAGCCCTTTTTATTTTTTATTTTGAAACAAGGTCTTGCTAAGCTTCTCAGGCTGGCCTCGAACTTGATGTCTCTAGTCTCCTGAGTAGCTGGCTGTACAAGTCATTCCTATTTTTTTTCCTCCTCTAAAATCATATTATGGCAGCACTATGGAATCCCCATGGATTCACACTTACTGGATGAAGTCTTCCAGGTCTAGAGAGTAACCAGATCTACATTATAGAGCAGGCTTTTCACTGAGACATTTATAGTTCAATAATTAGGAGAATAACACATGCACCTCAGAACATGTGGTTTTAATTTACTCTGTAATTTAAAGCAGTCCTTGCAACACTTGTTAAAATTCAAATTGTTGGTGCTGATCTTTTGACAGACTTTATACTTTAGAAGGCAAGCTTGTTGAGAACGGGGAGGAGCTGGAGAATGGACAGTTTTACGTGGCTGTTGGCAGAGATCGGTTTAAGAAATTGCCCTACAGTGAGTTGCTTTTTGACAAGTCTACCATGAGGAGGCCTTATGGGTAAGTCTTCCTGTGCCCTCATACTTTTCAGGCTTTAGTTATCTCTTGAAATAGCACTGGGTCTTTTGCTGACCACAGTTATATTTTCTATAACTGACAATCTTGTTTTTGTGTAGAATGAAAAGCACACATGAATGATATATGTTGATTTTTTTTTTGCATAGGAACCATTACACAAAGATCTATTTTTTTCAATTTATAAAAAGACTTTTGTAGTATTTATTATTATTATTATTAATTTTATCATTTATTTGGTACAAAGTCACAGCTGCTACACAGCTCAGATTTGTAGTGATTTGTAGTGATACTCCTGTTGTGGCCTCTCCAGTCCTGGGATTACAGGCATGTGCCATCATGCCCTGTTTTGGTGGTCAGCACGGCATGTGGTACTGGGAATCGAACCCCAGTCTTTGCACTTGCCAGGCAGGCGCTTATCTCCCCAGTCTATTATTATTATTTTTCACCTCGTACTAACTTTATAGCAAATAGCAAGATTTATTCTTGTGTAGAAGATATAGGACAATAAGCTTCTCTATGTAAACCTTACAGGTATTTCAGTCTCTTAACACTTTAGCTAGACCAAATGGTTTTTCCAGTTGGTTTGGATAAAAGCCTCCAAAGGTATTAAAGAAAAAAATTCAGCATAACATTTTACACCTCTTTTAATAACTGTAAATTATAAAAGCAATATCATTTGTACTTGTACAAATTAACAGTTGAGTGTCTATTACATGCAAGTTAAGGATGTCGCTTATGATTGCACGTCATGCTCTGTGAGTGTTTTGGTCTCCGTGCGAAGTCATGTGCTGTCTAAGGTGCTTTATCTCAGCTCAGTGGATGCTCAGCTGTGCTGCGCAGGACAACTTTGACCCCCAGCCTGGGACTTCTTGGCCGGCTCACTGTGCCCTGAGGTCCATTCCGTGTTGCTTTTCACAGAGATTCTGTGGCCACTTTGTTGTACAAAACCAAGTTTTTGAGGTTGTCCCCTGTAGAGTTAGAAGAACTCTCCCCAGAGAATTTTCCATGATTTGACAAGTTGTGTCCCTTGGTGGGGAGGCTGGTGGAGGGCTCTAAAGGAGGCATAGAAGAGAGACAATTTCAGAGGTAGTGCGTGAGCTGTGCAGGAGCACGCATTTTCCCAGAACTTTAGAATTATTTACCAGCAGACTTATTGCTAATGATCCTTACTCATCCAAACCCTTTAAGGCTGGGGAGATAGCTCAGTAGAATAAGCGCTTGCCTGGCATGCGCAAGGGCCTGAGTTCAACCCCTGGTTCTGCACAAAAGAAAAGAAAACAAAACAAAACAAAAAACCCCTTAGCAATTTCTGCTGATGATGCCGGGGTTCCCTATTTGAGTTGCAGTGTGTACCTGGCAGGAAAATGAAAGCTTACTCCTCTTAGTCTGCTAGTAAGATTTGTCTTTGTTTATGTTTCCTACCTTTGGAGACTTTTAGTTGAGTGTCCAGATGGGTCTTTTGCTAACAGTATAAACATTGTGTGAAGCCACTTATGGTCTAAAAAAGAATTTTTTACTTTTGGTGACAAGGGCTGCTGTGAAACCTCCCTGACTATAAATGTCCCCATAGTGGACATCAGAAAAGGGCTGAAAATTTATGTTTTTTTTTTTGTTTTTGGTGGAACCGGGGATTGAACTCAGACCCTTGCGCTTGCCAGGGAAGCGCTTATCCCACTGTGCCATCTCCCCAGCCCCCTAAATTTATGTTTTTTAAACTAACCTGACAATCAGTACTTGGCTTGAGTAATAGTTCTTTTAAATTATAAAGAGAAAATTTGGGGATCTGAATAAAAATGTGATGAAAATATTTAAATTTATTTTAAAGTAAAATTTATTTATTTATTTATTTATTTTTTAGTAAAATTTATTTTTAAGAATCACTTAATATAGTATACAGGGAAACATTAAAAATCTTTTGAAGTGAAATTTGGAGGTTTTATGATAGACACAAAATGTCAATAAACAGTTGACTCCTGGGTTTGGCTGACAATTATTTTGCATTGTATATTATTTGTAAATGGCATCCAGATGTCTGAATTTCAGTTTCTTTCCACAGTCAGAAAGCATCTTCACTGCCTCCCATCGTAGGATCGAGGAAGTCTAAAGGGAGTGTAAGTATCAGAAGCTTTTTCTCATTAATGTCCTATATTTCTAGATGTGAGACAGTCCTCTGGGTTTCAACTTAATTCAGAGAAATAAGAGTTGACTCTTCTGGCTTACAAACAATTATGGGAACCAACACCAGACCTTAAATGTTATAACTGGGGACCCAAAACACAGCTAATACAGAGTTCCCCCACTTATCGTGGAGGTTATGTTCCAGGCCCCTGCAGTGAGTGAAGATCAGCAGAGCAGCAACATTGTATTTGGTTTAGTATTTATATATTTTAAGGTTTTATAAACCCTTCCCACACTCTTATAAACCTTTCCCACACTTACAAAAACATTTCTAATGTTCTTAACCATTTTCTAAATTTGTAAACCTAGGTCATTTTAACAACATACGTATACTGTACTGTACTGAAAAACCCTCAATATAGCAAAAAATCTGTGATATATAATTTAGATGAATATTTTTTGAAAACATGTGAAACTGAGTCCATGAATGTTGAACCATGAAATAGCAAGGGACTACTGTAGTTTTAGAATATAGATTTCAGATTCTTTTTTGCATATATATATATATATATATATATCCAATATATTTTATGGTATAGTTGGAATCTGGGCAATAGCAACATGCAGTTAAAAGAACCATTTTACTAGGTCACACCAGTGGTCAACTCACACTTGTTTTCTATCTCGGAAAAAGAATCACAAGGAAGTTTTGATAAGAAAATGGTAATCCCCAGTTATTTTCTCTAAAAGATTAAAAATCATTTCAAATTCTTAGATCTATTTCCAAATCTTTTCCCTTTATCATCCATTCATTATTTGTTCCACAAACATTTATTAAACACTAATTATGTAGCAACTGTGACAAGCAGTTAATAGGTAACTTTTAGACCTATTTTCAAGGGGAGCCCAGACTCCCCTCAGGTCAGACCTCATGTCCTGCTGCAGGGCTGCTCTAGGCGAGCCTCCTTTCTCTTCTTTCCCTCTTGATGGAATCCCCAGCACTGACCAGCACTGGTGTGGCATCTCTCATTCCACCCTGAATTAACAAAGCAACATTCTGATTTTTTTCAGAAAAATGACTAGTGGCCAATGATACCATCAACCCCCTTTTGCCGTGTGACACTCTTGAAAATGAGTTTGGTGTGCACAAGTAGTGCTGAACTCAGCAGGACAGGCAGATGTTTATGAGCAATCACCAGCTGGGCCTCTTGTCCTATTTCTGACACTGTTCTTGTCCTCAAGAAGCACAGGACCTAATAGAAACAGAGGAGGCAGCCTGTAAAGGCAACAAGCAAGTGAAAGCTACAAATCAGAGACATGTTGAGGTCAGTGAGTACTTAGAGGAAAAGGGAAGAGTGAACGCTGGCAGCGAGGAAGCTGAGCCAGAGCTGTGCCTTCAGGACCATTTAAGACTCGGGAAAGTGGACAGGGGCACACGGTATAGGTGGAGGACCAGGAGGGACTGAGCAGGCAGCCAATTGGCCATGCTGGCTGGGATCCGTGACCATTGAGGGCTCCATACTGTGCCATGTTCCTTCAGGAGCTGAAGAGTGAACCCCTAGAGATACCCAGGCATGTAGAACGTGAGAATTGCATTCTATTCTCTTGCTTTTCTTTATTTGTTCCTTAATCCCCAATGCTGGTATCCTGATGAGTCGCCTTTAAGATGATAAAGGAGGCAGAAAGCGGCAGCCACTTGTCCGAGGCTTCTCTGGTACATGCAGCAGGGGAGGATAGATCCCAGGGTCTGTTGGAGCTCAGGCACTGGCCCTGTGGGACAGATGCCCACACACAGGGCTCAGAGAGAAGTGGAAGTCAGAGGTGACCACAGAGTTTCTGAGCTGGGGATGCTAGAGTTAATGACCTGCTTTATTTCAAACATGTCCACTTGGCAGTGTTATCATGACATCCAGCGAAAGTGTTCAGCAAGCCGTGGAGGCCTGTCAAGGATGTCACCGTGGCAGACAGAGCTGTGACTATGGTGTTAATTGAGGAGCAGAGACAGCCACACAAAACTCATGAATATAGAGTCAGGGAATCATGCTTTGTTCTCTTATAGCCCAATTCATTGTGTAGGCCCATTAGCCCGTCTCTTCTCACTGAGGAGTGAGGCTGAAAAAGACCCAGTGTCACTGGATAACTGGCCCAGAGAATGAGGAAATCTGACACCAGGACCAAGGTTATGGCCCAACTCTTCACACTCGCGCTCACTGAAATTTGGAATTCCATGCCTATTCTTCTGAAATTTACAATCTAAAATTTTCTGTGAAAATTCTAACGCATCTCTTGCTGAGAGATGCACGACCCAGGACACACCTGCAGTTTTCTGTCTCTCAGCTTCTGGTTGGGAACAGTGGCCCATGTAACAGTCATTGCTTTGTGTGCCCGGCTGGTACCGAGCCCTAGGGAGACTGGGATGAGAGAAAGCCACCATGCTTTGCCTGGTGCTCATGGTGTGCTCAAGGAGACAAGGGTTCAACCAAGGTTCCACAAGTCGCCATATAACTAAAATACAAAAAGAGGAATGTGAGACACAGTAAAACAATGCCACAGGTGTGTCAGGAGAGGCCCCCACTGAGGAAGAGACTCTTAAACAAAGGGCGGAAAGGTATAGTCCCGTCCCGTGGAAAGCAAAGACTGGGAAAGCATCAAACATAGTTCCATGCTACAGCTTGGAAACATAAGCTACTGACAGGTTTGGTGCCCTGCTCACAGTGTCCCCACAACACTCCTGGTCAGGTCTCCTGGTCATCTGGTCAACATGCACTTACTGAGCGAGTGCTAAGTGCTCTATGATGCTTGGGTATAGTGCTAAGAGAGATAGGGACTCAGATCCAGGGAGCTTTTAGTCTAGACCGTGTGTGTGTGTGTGTGTGTGTGTGTGTGTGTGTGTGTGTTGCAGGTGGACATCCAGACTTTCAGTTCACAAATATGTAAATGACTTCTGATGGTGGCAGTACTACAAGCAAGCTGAAATGTTTCAGGGCACTAATTTGTATAAAATTGTCCAACACAGAGATGGGAAGGGGCCACTCCTTCACAGGGAGGCCACAGAGTCACCTGACCCTGGTAAAGAGCAGTGCGGGAGGTGGGTGACAGGCAGCCAGGTCAGTCTAAGCTCAAGTCAGAGAGGTGGAGAGGCGGGACCATTGCACTGGGACCAGGCGGGGCCAGCATTTGGACTGTACTCCTTGGTGCGTGCTGGGTGGGACTAGAAGGGGAACAGTACAATTTAATGGATGCTTTCCAAAGCTCCTTGGACTGTGGTGTCCTCAGAGAAGTGCGGGGCAAGAATAGAAACAAGAGGCTGAGGGGCAACTGGCGGCCCTGTGTGTGTAGCAGGTCAGGGACAAGTGGCCCGAGGGCAGTGGCCTCTGCATCACTCTGCCTCAGGGGTCCTTGATGGACTCCCCCGCCCCCTGTCCCGCTGCAGTTCTGAGGCTGGGTTCTGTCCTGGGCCCTGTTCTGGGGCGTGGAGTCCAGAGATCCCGAACCCCAGGGGTGTGGAAGGTGTGTCCTGGGGGAGGAGACAGCACACACAGGATGCCTCTGTTATCAGCTGGGGCTGAGCAGAACACATCAGGTTCTGGAGGAGAAAGCATGAGAGGGCCGAGGCGCGTGGGAAGGCGGGCGAGGCTCTGCACGGACGCCAGCGTCACCCCGGTGTTCACTGAGCACTCGCGTGTGGGGTGTCCAGGGGTGGACACGGGCAGGGAGCGGCACAGAGGGGAGTCGCCACCTGGGTATTTAGCAAGGATGAATGTGCTCGGTTCCTCTAATGCATGGGCTCCATGGGGTCTCCGTGCCGTAGGAGCAGAGGCGGGGCGAGCGGGGACTGAGGACAGCTGGCCTGACCCTCCAACCACCCGCTGCTGGAAAGGGACACAGGCCAGGCTTCGGGAATTTACTTTTCCGCATGGCTTCTGGGACTCGCTGTGCTACATGAAGAAGGGGCTGGAGGGGACTCGCGGGAACCTGGCTCTGGGACAGCCTGGGAGGCGTCATGCTGATTGAGAGCAATACCCCGGGGCGATGAGCGAGTGTGGACAGTTTGGGCCTCAATTCAAAGAGGATGCAAAAGAGTCGTCTGGGTTGTGTTGATTTCGGGAAGGGACCCGCTCGCTCGGGAAGGCTGGGGCTGGGTTGCCGCGCGGCCAGGGCGCCCCCTACCGGAGAGAGGTGTTAGCACCAGCCACGAGCTTCGCCAGACTGCAGCACCGCGGGGGCACCATGCAGCAGTAATACAGTGTAACAGTCTGTAATAGTAATGTACAAGACCCTATGATGACTTCTGACTTTTTATTAAACACTGCATGACTGTCGTGACTGGTTATCACAGAGTCGCTGCCAAGCAGGTTATGAACATATGGCAGTCCAGTGCTCCTATGCGGTCAATTGCCACCGACCGGGAGGAACTGAGCCCAGGGGGTGCTGAGAGGGGGCAGCACGTCCCCCAGGTGGTCTCTCACTAAACTTACAGACTTGATGTTTTAGGGTCCCTTGTTTCTAGCATGTTTTTGTGAGGCTGGAATGGGTTTGCTGTGGCAATGAGAGAAATCAGAATTGGTTAGATTCTGGGAAAAAGCCCAGGGGATGTTAAAACATTTAAACCAAACCTCAGTTTCTCTAGAATGTTGCCTTGCGTGAGTGGCTTCAGCTGCGATCGCATATATGGTGAATGCTGCTGTGCCCAGGGCCCTCTGGAGGAAGGGCATTGTCACGAAACCAGGCTGTGTCCTTACCCACCCTAGTCAGTGGTCTGCCTGGGTAACTCCTGGCTCTTCTCCAAATTCAAAATGACTATGAAAAAGGGAAACAGTCTGACTCCGTTTAGGACATCAAGGCAGCCGCAAAAGCACAGCTACAGACACTCTGGAAAGAGGACTTCCGGAACTGCTTCAGACAGTACCAAGAACAATGGGATAAACAGCTTGCGGGGGTGGGGGGGGCGGGGGCGGTTATTGGCAATGTCTTTTATAGTAATTTTTTTAATGTTAAGCATTTGCCATATTTTTCAACCATATCTCATGTATTTTATACACAGGGCAGTGGTTGAAGTCCAGCATGGGGTCCTGCTTTTCATAGCATGCCCTACAAAATTAGCCTGCTTTCATTCTTTCCATTTTGAGACAATGCCATAAAGCTGTTACTTTGGGATGCCTGTTTTAGGGAATCATATTGTCTTGGTTACTTTTCTCTCATTGCTGAGACAAATATCTGACACCCAAAATGAAGGAAGGAAATGTTTATTTAGCTCACAGTTACTGGAGGTTTCAGTCCATGCTCAGCTGGCTCCCAGGCAGAGTGGCACAGGGCAGAGGGCAGCAGTTCATGGTGGTGGTAAAAAGCAAGAGAATCAAGATGAGAGGAGTAGCAGCAACAATGGTGCCAGAGAGAGGAACTCCCTTAAATTGATTCAGGCTATCTGCCCCAGGCTGGGGGAAGTACGCACCCCCTTTAATCCTAGCCATACTCAGACCCATAATCCCAGCCTTGGATCACCCATAATCCCAGTGGATCATGAGTTAATCACAAACTCTAGAAGTCTGCCCCATGACTGCATGAGGCATTGGGGGGACAACTAGACACAAAACATAACACATACTCTATAGAGATGCTTTACTTTGGAGGCATTAGAATGCTTCAGTGCATAGGAAAATCAGGGCTTCAGCAGTGAAGTGCTTTAGTTATAAAATGTAAATAACAATACTTACTAAATGTGGCAGATACCACTGCTAATATGGAGGTAGAACATGAGGTATTCAATCTTACCAAATATTATAGCTGTGTGAGTTGACAAAGCCCCTTTTATCTCTTATGTCCTCCAAATAGCAGTAGCAAAAGGTGTCCTTAGATTACAGGTCCAGTCCAAGGCCTCAAGAGAGAACAGACTGCTCTGTCCTGCTTCCTGCCTCCCCTTTCTAACTATACATACTTTACTTACCTGTCACATATAATTGGTACAACCAAGTATTAAAATAAGTGTTCTGATCTCCATTATGTATCTTATTTATATACTTATATATAATGTTCAATGTGTTTATGTTATGAACACTGCAACAGAGTCAAGGCATTTTTCTTTTTCATTAAAAAGATCTCAGTTATTTCCAACTGAAACTCAGAACAGTTATTTCTCTCAGGTTCATTTACTTGTTACTCACAGAGGGCCTGATGATTAATTATCAGCACCCAAACCTGAATTCGCTGGGGGCCGTCAGCTACGAAAGATGCACCTGATGCAGTTGTTTGCTTCAACTAGTCTTGTTTCAGTGCTCCCTGATCACCCTTTTGAGCATCCCAGTAAGGTTTCTGTTTAGCATAATCAGAGCTTTCCTGTGTGTCCAGCAAAGCAGAGATTAGTGTACGGTATTCATCCCTAGTTCAACAGTCTCTGGACCTTCTAGCTGCTTGCGAAGGGTTGTTCTTGTCACCTAAAGGGTCTGCAATTTAAAAGTCTTGGGCTGAATAGAATCCATTGAAGATGACTGGAGTGTGAGGCTTGATTGATGACTTTAGAATCTCTGCTGTAATTATATGAACTGTCTCCTCTGTCAGATAGCTTATGGTCTTGCTAGAAAGAATTGCTGAAAAGAAAGAAAAAAAATGAAGAAAAACATCTGGTTGCAGTTAATGTAATAATTAAATGGAAACTGTATGTTTGAATTGCAGTTGGAATAGGAAATTAAATTATGCAAAAAGTGTTATAGATTTGGACAAGTTTCCATACTGTTAATAAATCTATGCATAATTAATTTTCTTGTAGGCTATGACACAATAGCATAAATAACTTCATTTGTAAGGCTGCGGATTTTTCTATTCTTAATTGGGTGATGGCTAAAACCATTTAAATGCTTCTGGATGACTGAATATATAAATGTTTGAAATGAGCAGTTATAATAGGTTTCTAGCTAGATGTTTATTTAATATCACTACATTTATTTTCAGATGCTAGCTTAGCTCAGATATTGCATAAAGATTGCATTCATTATTGTGTGAGTTCGGTGTGATTTTAAAGTAAAAGACATTAACTCTCTGCTCATAGAGAAAGCACTCTGATACTCATCCTCAAGCAGAGGACCATTTCCTTTATAGTATCTCCCTTCATTCTCACATTTTACCTACAGACACGTTCTAAAAGCCGGTTCAACTGATGGGGATACTTAGGCTCAAATAAATGAGAAGTTAGCCCATGGCCCTATAGACAGTGACAGAGCTGTGGCTGAGCCAGGGACTTGGGGGGTCTCTAAAACTCACACTCTTTCTACTACCTGCAGCTTGCACCTTGCACACTCGGCGAGGTGAGCACTGAGTCCCTTCGAGCCAGGGCTGCTGCATTGGGAGGGGGGTTCGTACTGGAGTGGGCAGTGCCTGACAGCTGCACAGCTGTTCCTTACAGTGGCCACTGCTGGATATGGCTCCTGTGGCTGTACCCAGGCAGTGCCAGGAGCCTCTGAAGAACACCCTGGCACTTGTGCCCAGGTGCCTACTGTTGGCAGGGGCAAGGTCTTCACTGTGAGAGCCATGTGGGGACCAGAGGCCATCATTGATGATGTAATCACCTTGGTCGCCTTACAGGAGTAGAGAACAGGCAGGGTACACAGCACAGGGGGTGCATGAGGTCCTGAGTTTGGTTACTGGGTACAGGGTCTCCCTATGCAGTTTGCACTTGTAGCGATCCTCCTGTCTCAGCTTCCCCAGAGCTGGGATTACAGGTGTGAGCCACCACACCTGGACTCAGTGGCTGGCTCATCATGCTTAGTGTTCCTAGGCTAGCACAGCATGTGGTACCAGGGATTGAACCTGGGTCCTTGTACTTGCCAGGCAGGCACTCAGACTGTCGAGCTATCTCTCCTGCCCCTTCATCTGCAACTGTTGAAGACCATGCTGGTTACCAACAGATGAGGTAACACTGGAGCATTTCTACAACCACAGGGCTGTGTGTGCATAGTGATAGCTAATTAAGGAGATGTTTCTACATTAGCAGATTAAACCGAAAGTTACTGCCCTCCTCCTCCTGTAGGCCCCTGCTGATCCTTCAGAAGTGCACCGAGCAGAGAGTCGCAGAGGTTGCTGGCTTCTCTGGGTCATTAGGCAGGTCTGAGCCCCAAGTGTGAGCCCACAGGTGGCACGAGTAGTGAAGGCAGTCATTTGGAAGTGCACCTAGCGCATATTCAGTGCTTAGCACTTGTGAGCTCTTGTTTTCTCCTCTGCTAGACTCCTCTCTTGCCTCCAAGAGGATGACTTCACGTGAGTGTGGCATTGTCAGGTACAGTCCCAGCATCGCCACTCTGTCCTGCCATCCACTGTCGGGGCCAGGAGTCCTCCAGGGAGTTCCTCTGCCTTTGCTGAGGGTCCACTCTTTCTCCGCTTAGGGAAATGATCGCCAGTCTAAGTCAACAGTGAGATCCAGCGATAACTCATCTCCTCAGCCCGTGAAGAGGAAAGGGAAGAAGAGCAATGGAAATTCAGAAAAAGCTCTCAAAGCCAAACAGAGCGTGAAGTCCAAGAGTGCACAACAAGCAATTCTTCCCAGTGGTGAGTTTGTCATTTTTCTTTTGTTGTTGTTGGATATTATCATTTTAAACTAGCGTTACATTTTTAATTATCAAATTGTTTCTCTGGGTCCCCAGAAAAGATGCTCTATATGGCCATTGAAGGCGGCGCTCTTTGCAAAGCCAATGTTTTACACAGGAGATGGTCTGCTGGTTCTCAGGCTCAGTTCCTGTTTGTAATTAGAGTGGTTGTTTGGAGATCATTTGTTCTGAGGTCAAATAGCTCTTATTTAGATAAGATAAAGCTTGCGGTCCTCTGCCTCTGCCTACAGTGTTTGATTCACATCTTTAGGGTCTACTGTTGACACGGGGCTCCCTTGTTAGTGGGTCTGTAGCCCTTGCTGCATGCACTGCGATTTAGATGCAGGTGACCTTTCCTGCAAAGGAAAACTATCAGAGAACGCTAAATACACAGGAACTTTACTCATGAGCAGTAACATCTCCACCAAAATGCATGATATAGTTTCACCTTGCACCAGCAGAGGAGAGACGGTATAGACTTGCGAGCCATTTGCATTGGTCTGAGATGTCATTCGCAAGAGCTGTCAGTGGTGTGAACATAGGAATAATGCACTAACCAGGGCGGATGTTCCCATGGGGTCCTGGAGAAGAGGGGCTGGCTTTGGTTCCAGTCCCAGCATGTTCTCAGTGGGGTACTCTTGTGAGAGTGGAGTGATGTGAGGCTGGCTGTGAACAGACCAGTGCTGTGCCTCCTTCCCCCTCCACCCCTGCTATGGGGCCTGGGAGAGGATGGAGGGTCAAGGCTTCAGAGTCTGGACCAGCCCCGACTTCCTGTCCTGGAGCTGAAGCTGATGAGTGACCAGCAGAGTCATGTTGGAATCACTTATACCTAGTGCAGCTTCCCAGCTTTGGAAGCTGCATGACCTCCACTCCAGAGATGACCCTGAACAGGAGACTAAACTAGAAGAAAGGCATGCATGGCTAAGTGAAGAAAGAGGAAAAGCCAGCTGCGGTGGCGCATGCCTGTAATACCAGCACTCGGGCGGGCGGCTGCAGCAGGAGGCTCCCTGGGTGCTCCAGGCCAGCCTAGGCTACATAGTGAGTTTAAGGCCAGCCTTCATGACATAGAGAGACTCTGTCTCAAAAAGCAGAAAACAAAAACAAAAAGAAAGGGAGGGGTTTACATCTCTAGTGATGGAGATTAACTGGAAATCAGATGTTTTAGATTCTTGTCCCAATCCTTAACTTTTTGGGGCCCATAATTTACCTTTAATACATGGTTCATGTCCATTTTACCTTTAAAATTTTGCTTGAAATTTTGTCCTGGGCTGGGGATTTAGGTCAGTGGTGTAGCACTGCTTGGCAAGCATGAGGTCCTGAGTTTGGTTACTGGCACAACCTCCAAATCTATACCATCTTTTTTAGTAACTAGGAAACAAGGAAGCTGGGGTGAAATGCAGGTAACAGATTTGTATTAGTGCCTATTGTGTGGCAGGAACCAAAGGGACAAAGTTAGCATGGAAAATGTGCTGCGCTTCGCACATTAAATGTAATAAAACCTCACCAGTGAGATGTTGCTCGCCTGTGATCTCAGTACTCACAGCAGGCTGAGGCAGGAGCTCGAGTCCAGAATGAGCACCTTACTGCCTTTGCATGACCTTGTCTCAAAAGAAAAAAAAAAATTAAAAACTACTCAAGACATAGCTCAGCATGAAGGCCCTAATGTCGAGCACCAGGAGCATTCCCACACAAAAGAGGCTTTGTGTTAATCAATGTACATTAGTTGGTGAAACCCTCAAACATGGGCTAGGTATTGCTAGACTTTAAAATCCTGATCACAAGCACAGGCCAAGTAGATATGAGGCACTTAATAAATGTTGAATGAATGAATGATGCATGTTAAAAAAATAGATAGGTTCCAGTAATACTTTAAAACCCACTAAGAATGGATTCCATTTAAAACTTTCATGAATTATTGACTGAAAAGCTTATAGATATGTTACTTGCGTATTGTCTCTAAAGCTCTTATTAGCTTATGGAAATCCAAATTCCTACTTCTAGTATATTTTTAAAATGTCTTTGGATTTAGTAGCTGTCTCTGGGAAGAAAGGAAATGATTATCTTGTCCTGTTATACTGTTTTTAGAGGTCTGGGAACACACAGACACAGTGACATAGCTTTTTACCAGAGGAAAGCAATCTTTATTTGAAAGTATTTTTGCTTTTGTTGAAATTCACAAATAGTTTTCTTTTTTTTTTCTTTTCTTTTTTTGGCAGAACCAGGGATCGAACTCAGGGCCTTGTGCTTGTCAGGGATGCTCTTATTCTACTGAGTCATCTCCCTGGCCTTCACAAATAGTTTTCAACAATATTTGTTTGTACAGGGGTGACTATAATAAAACTATAGCTAACATCAAAGCAAATCATTTTTTTAAAGTGCCAGGCAAAGGTAGCTGCCCCAAATCATTTTTTCTTGGTTTTGAGAGAATCTGCAGTTGTTTTAGCTAATTGCCCATCTTGAGAGGGCGTTTTCCCATACAGCTTTGTAATGCACTGAGTATAAGCTTGAAAATTGCCAGGACAAAGGCTGGTCCTTTCATGGGAGGTCTTTAGGTACTTTTTTCCCCCTAGCAAGCAGCTTGTGCTACTGCCCTAGAAGGCATAATTAAGAGTTCAGACAATGCATTTTGTATCTCTTCATCATGATAGAAAGAACATATAATCTGCAAAGGAAACCTTGTTTCCCAGAAACATTTTTTTCCTAGAAAAAAATGAAAACAGATCTTATGCAGTACTCTGGATTAAGCTGTCACTTGATATATTTAAGCACAGCAGTTTAAATCCATAGAGTTGAAAATGGAAGTGTTTCTCTCTCATGCTGTCTCTGTAGATGCCTTTGGCTGTAGAATTTTCTAGATTATAATATTAAAAGCCCTCCTCCTTTCCCCTGTCTCTCCCTCTGCTCAATTGAGCCTTCATGTTCATTTATTATTGAGCTTGCCCATTACTGGAATGCCGTCTATTTTAGTCATTAGAACTGCACTTGCACTTTTGAGGTTTCTGTGTCAGCAGGGCTCTGGTCCTTTGGAAAGGTAAGAGTAACAAGAATTTGAAACAGCCGAGATCCTGAGTAAAACATAAAGTGCAAAGGGGGTTTTAAAGATGAAATCTATGTCGCTTTTTCTATTTAACATTTAATATTAATCAAACTATTCAGTTTGATTTCCAAGTGTAAACTGTTAGTGTTAGAGCATTTTGATGATTTTCTAGCATTTGTCAAAGTATGCAAATATTTAATACCGCATTCTTTGCCTATCTACTGCTCTCGCCTTGGTTTCACATACAGGTAGTGATAGCAGCCACGCCCAGCATCCTTTTCTGGCTACTGCTATTTACTGCTATTCGGTTATCAGGAGCTACATGGATGAGCGATGCTGCAGTGAGACTGTAGAGGGCAACCTGTGACTAATTTTATTTCCTTTTTCCTTTTTTTTTTTTTTTTTTGATTCCTTTTTTTTTTTTTTTTTTGTGGAACCAGGGACTGAACTCAGGCCCTTGCACTTGCTTTAAACTGCTGAGCTATTTGCCACGCCCAATGGCTTTTTTTTTTTTTTTTTTTTTTGATTCCATTTCTCTCTGTAAGAGTAAAGCTTAATAATTCAAGCAGAGCAGTGACATATTTCTTCAGGGAAACAAATCCCATTTTCTTTTGGTAGCCAAGATGCAAAGTAAGATTGGTCGGTGATTGATGAAGTTGGGTGTGAATTAGGTTTTTAGTGCCACATTTAAATGCCAGCTTAAGTGGCCAACACGTGTTTTTGTTACACTTTCCACTTGAATTGCAGCGCCTTGAGGTATATTTTTGAGGTGTTAACTAGCTGCACTCTCCATGATGAGCAAAAACAGTAATGATGATTACTTTGAAATACCATTTTGCATGACTGGTTGTATCTGTTGCTATTATTAGTATGCAATTCATGAACACACTTTGTGCTTTGAGAACCTTCAGAACACAGAGTGGGTTTAATTTTGAAATATTAGAAAGTCCCCAAAGAATGTAGCCTTGTCTTTATTGCTATGATTAACATTGTATTAATAATTAAAACTACTTTTAAAGGGCAAAGTGTTAAAATGCGA